CAGGCGCCCAGCCGAACTCGCTAGTTCTAATTCAGATTTAGTTCTAAGAGAATTGTTGCTAATTGAGAATTAGTTCTAAGAGAATTGCTGATTCTCTTTTTTCCTGATTCTTATATTTCATTTCTTTTTCTGAATAGAAACGCTGAGGGATATTGTTGACCATCACAGGCACACTATGAATGATTCATCATTAGGTGTGATATAAAACAAGCCACAGGCTTCCGAGAGACACCTTTATCAGGACAAAGTAATCCCCATCTATTCTGCATTGCTAAGAGGATTTTTTTCCTTAATCATAAATGAGTGTTGAATCTACTGAATTATTTCTCTATAAAATTTACCTCGATTCTATGGTTCTCCCACCTTGACCTGTTAAGGCTTTGTAGTATAAGACGTTCTAATGTTAAATCATTTGTGTGTTTTTGGTCTTGATATTCCCTTCTTTCTCTCGCATTGTAATACATAAACAGAAATGTGCAAAAAATCACACATGCCAAGTTCACTGTCTCCAGGTAAAGAAAGAATTATCAGAAGCCTTTCTCTCCTTGCTGCCCATTACTGCCTCTTCCTTGCTCCCCAAAGATATTGTCCAGACTTCTAAAACCAGACGTTTGTTTTGCCCTTTTTTTTAACTTTTAAACTAGCATGTATTCTTAGGTGTTTGGCTTCTTTCTTTCAATATTATTTGTTCATCACAGGATTGTTTCACCGGTGACCTGAGATTCACCATGTTCATTTACCAGTACAGACAACTGATCCACTTGGCTGAGGTGCTTGAGTTGTTACCAGTTTGTGGCTATTCTGAATAATGCTACTACAAACGTTTGTATGGATGTTTCTTGGTGTACATGTTCATACATTTCCTTGGGTACATATCATGAAGAATGAAATAACTAGGGCATAGGTTTCCATTATGTTCAAGTTTTTTTTTCTGTGACAGAGTCTCAAGCTGTCACCCTAGGCAGAGTGCCATGGAGTCACAGCTCACAGCAACCTCAAACTCTTGGGCTTAAGCGATCCTCCTGCCTCAGCATCCCAAGTAGCTGGGACTACAGGCACCCGCCACCACATGACCGGCTACTTTTTGGTTATAGTTGTCATTGTTCTTTGGCCCGGGCTGGATTCAAACCCTCCAGCTCTGGTGTATGTGGCTGACACCCTAGCCACTTGAGCTACAGGCACCGAGCCTCTCTTCAAACTTAATAGGTCATGCCCAACAGTTTTCTTATGGTGAAGTACTACTTTTTCCTATTATGTTTAAAAACATTCAGCATATTTTAATGAAACATTTTACCAAGCTACTTACACTAGCTTAAAACACAGTTCCTTTAGAAAAGGCAAAATCCTTTTTCTATAGACTTATTTTAAAAACACATTACCTTTTTGAGAAAATTATTAGAAGCCAGGAGCTGAGACATGAAGGACACTGACAAAAATTTAAAATGCCGCAGTTGCTTGTTAGTGTGAGTGTCGACATTAAAGACCTGCAGCATTTCTTCCTGTGACTCATTCTTACTTGTCACTGCTTTGGGAACGGTTTCTGAAACAGCAACAAAAGAAGTGACCTTTCACCTGGATCCCTAGTATAGACAGAAAGAGCTTTAAAGTACAGCATGGTTAATGGGACATACCCATGGGATTTTCCTCTTATTAGTGGAAAATGTGAGTGTCTTTATGAAGAAAGGTACCCAATAGCCCTAAGGAGGTGTGTAAAACAAAGCACCAAAACAAAACAGGGCAACGGAGACAATCAAATGAAAGGAAAAGATATTACAGAAGGAGTCTTTGAACTTCGAGCTTCAGATGTAGATTTCTTTATCAAAGATACCTAATATGAATGGGGTTGAGGGTGCAGTGGTCAGAGGGCCATAGTGAACCACTTAGAAACCACTGCCCTAGAGGATGACTCCATGGAAAGTTTTTCCTTAACCACAGGCCACCTACAGCTCTCCAGGTCTCCACCTACAGACCTCCCTAGTCTGTCCCTACCAAACCCAAGCTGACTACAGGATGAGACAGGTTACTGCCTGGTCAAACAGGGGTGGTAGGGCCAACAGCTGGCCACATAGAAAACTATACTCCCTGTATAGTTCTTAGTATCATTTTTCTTTTCTTTTTTTTTGAGACAGAGCCTCAAGCTGTACCCCTGCGTCACAGCTCACAGCAACCTCCAACTCCTGGGCTCAAGCTAGTCTCCTGCCTCAGCCTCCCAAGTAGCTGGGACCACAGGCACCTGCCACAACGCCCGGCTATTTTTTGGTTGCAGCCGTCACTGTTGTTTGGTGGGCCCAGGCTGGATTTGAACCTGCCACCTTAGGTGTATGTGGCTGGCGCCTTAGCCGCTTAAGCCACAGGTGTCGAGCCCATTTTTCTTTTTTTTTTTTGTAGTTTTTGGCCAGGGCTGGGTTTGAACCTGCCACCTCTGGCATATGGGGCCGGGGCCCTACTCCTTTGAGCCCCAGGCGCCGCCCTTTAGTACCCTTTTTCTAGTGCACCTGGCTGTTCTGCCTCAAAAGGTAGAGAACTAAGAACTTTCAACATCTACCCTTTCTTAAGCCAGCCTCAGTGCTGTTGCAATTAATGGAGTTTTCTTCAAGACTCTGCTACATGGTATAATATTTAGTTACCACTGATGTGGGTACCTATTTTTTTCCCCCTTTCTTGTATATCTCTTTCGATATTTTAGTCGGAAGCTGACAGGTAGCTGGTAAGGTCCTACTAACTGATTCAAACATAATTTATCCTGCACACTGGTAACATTTACCTCTTGCCAAGAGGTGAGTGTGAGGCACAGAGGTAAAAAGACAATGTGCGGCACAGCCAGTCGAAATGCTACTATCTTCCACAAGGATTCAAGGAAGAACACAATCAGGTACTGACATCAATAATGATTCATTTACTTAAAAAATCCTTCTAGAGATTTCCTAAGGGGAACCTGAATTCTTTTCAGCTTTCCGATTAAAGCAGAAACACCACCTGATTTATGCTTACCATCTTTTTCCTCTGGCAGCTTTAGTAAGTACTGCAGGATGTGCATCAAGCTTTGTATCTGATGCTGGACACTAAATTCACAACAGACTGAAATCCAAAATTCAGTATCTGCCTCTAAAATAGCATCCTGAATAGAGAGAAAGGAAAAAGGCAATAAAGTTGCACACATCAAGTGTTAATGAATGAACACAAGAAATCATGTTTAAGAAATCCTCCTTATGGGTGGTGCCTGTGGCTCAAAGGAGTAGGGCACCGCCCCATACACTGGAGGTGGTGGGTTCCTGGCCAAAAACTACAAATAAAAGAAATCCTCCTTAGCATGCAAATTCATTATATGTTGTTCCTATGGTCATCATCAAATGAGTAAGTTAATGAGATCCTCTTATAAAAAAGCCCATTTATGCAAATAGTGAAGGGATAATTCCAGGCTAATTTGCATACGGCTTCTAGCAAAAATGAATATATTTCTTTACTTCAAGTAGGAGCAGTAGATCTACTTCTGGATCCCCCTCCTAAGAAATCATTTAACAGTGGCCCTTAACCTGTTAAGTTCTGCCCTCATCTATCTAAAATTGGCTTTCTAATCATCTTTGTCTGCATCTTACCAATTCCAGGGACATGGATGTTCCTCCATTTCCCCCAAAATGCCTTCAAAACCACTTTCAAGAGACGCTGTTTCGTTCCTTTACAGCCATGCTCTGTTGGGCTTAAAACAGGCACACCCAGCATGACACCTGATCTGTTTCTTACAGAAGACAAGCTACCCTCAAAATGTCTTCTGCTGCTATCGAGGACATTCACAGAGCCGCGGGCTCTGAGAGCAGTTTTTTAAAAGGCCACAGTAATTTTTGAAAAAGGTTCTGAGCAAACACTATTAAGCACCACCAGCCCATGTTTCAACTGGACCATATTACAAAATCTGGAACAGCCATTTTCCTCATCATTCCACCTTCCCTTCTGACCTTTTCTCCGTAGGCGGCCACCAGCACTGTCTTTGTGACGTACTGTTCAAAGAGCAACCCAAGCAGAACCCAGAGGAATTTTTCTGCCCCAAGCGTATCGGTAAGTTGAACAAGGATGGGCAGGCGCCTGTGCTCTGGGACGTGCGGCAGCGCGTCCACAAACACGCTGATGATTTTCACCACGATTTCTTCGATGTTTCTTGTGACTTCTTTGGAATCTCCACTGTCAGACTGCAGAAGAGTAGAGACAATAAGTAGGTGCAAATAACTACCCACAAAGTAAGACAAGGCTTTCAGGTGTGCCCCAAAAAGTTATCAAAGGAATTTACGTAATCAAAGGCTGAAAAACAAATATTCAATGGATAACAATCAAAGGAATTTACGTAATCAAAGGCTGAAAAACAAATATTCAATGGATAACAATCACATCCCTGAGCCCCGAGGGACATACACAGGGTAAGATGTGAGCCTTCACCAAAGAAGACTTATAATCTGTATGAAACAAGATACACGTATGAGAAGATAACAGGAAGCTGTAAAGAGCAGATGCTGAAAATGTGCCACTGATGCCAAGTCTACTTAGGCCACCTGGGAAGGCTGAACAAATCACATACCGTGTTTCCCCAAAAGTAAGACCTATCCCAAAAATAAGCCCTAGCAGGATTTCTATGCATTTGTTAAATATAAGCCCTACCCTGATAATAAGACCTAGCTACGCTGCATAGCCATGCCACGTATTTCATAAGACATCCCCTGAAAGAAGCCCTAGTGTGTCTTCTTGAGAGGGGAAACAAGATAGGATTTGGGCTCTGCCTTGAGAAGAACGGGTATAATGTAGAGACGCAGAGCCCCCAAAAGACCACTAACTCCCTACTGCTCTCAGAATCAAGTTCCAACCATTTCACTCTGGTACTGGTGATCAAAACATACAGCAGAACCTCTGTAAGAGAACTCCCAAGGGGCCATAATGAACTGGTCAACTTATGGAAGTAGCGGACATAAGGAACTAGACCTACTGTACTGACACGTACACGTGGTACATGTCCAGGTCTATGAAAATTAGGGAGGCTGAAGGTCAATGTAGGGAGGTGGTCAACTCTGGAAGTTCTACTGTAGCTGGAGAATGAATGACAGAATACACACCTGGCTGAATGAATAAACCAATGCCTACCTGCTCCAGTTCCCTGTTGTCCTTGAAGTCAATCTACATTACACTCTTCAAAGTCACTGTGCACATGCCTAGACCAGGCCTTTTCTCATGCTGTTTGCTCTGCCATTTCACTCAGAAATCCTATCCTCCCTTCACATGGCTCTAGTTCTATTTCTTAAGACATTTGCTGATCATCTTTGCCTGTATGGGCTTTCTCCTCCTCTACACTCTTCAGTATTTGTTTGTTCCATTGGCATGTATTATATTAATTCACATAGTTATTCTTTTGGGTCTATGTCCTATAATTGCCAACTTATTAGACACTGAGAACACCAATCTGATACCACAGTTAAAAGGAGAAGGCGCTGAATAGGGTCATCCCTGGAATGGTCAGTCGCATGAGAAAGACATGAATTAACAAGTGTGGGGTAAAGAGAAACTCAGGGAGACAACCAAACTCTTTCATCTTCAAGGCTAATTTTTACTTTCAAATTATTCATTTGTTATTGGCAGGGACAACATCTCATTTCACTCTTTCTCAACTCCTATAGAATGCTTGGTAAATGTTTGTTGAACTGCAAGTGAACGAATTTGCCACTATGGCTTTAAACGTTTTTATCCTCCTCAACCTACAAAAGGGTCTTATCAAACTGAGGTGATGTCCTGAAATAAAACAGTAGATGTAAATTTATCCTATCAGAATAAGATACTTTTACAGTTAACACCTCATAGCACAACCAGCTGTAACAGATGCTTGAGGCACCTGTGGCTCAGTGGTTAAGGCGCCAGGCACATGTTCCAGGGCTGCTGGGTTTGAAACCAGCCTGGGTCTGCTAAACAATGACAACAATAACAGCAAAATAGCTGGGCATTATGGAAAGCGCCTGTAGTCCCAGCTACTAGGGAGGCTGAGGCAAGGGAATTGCTTAAGCCCAAGAGTTTGAAGTTGTTGTGAGCTGTCTACCTAGGGCAACAGAGTGAGACTGTCTCAAAAAATAAAACAAAACAAAACATGCTTGGAAAGGAGATTATTTCCAAGACTGTTTCTTAGCTTCAGCACTCTAAAGTTTAAGGCACAAGTACTTGAGCATTTCTGAAAGGTTTTGATGTCATTTATTTGCAAAATTAAAATATACTAATGATGACCGCTTACCTGAATAAGTGCTGGAATAACCATTTTCACTGTCTTGTTAATAACTTGGAAACTATAAGCATCATCAAGGCGCATGACATTGGCTCCCATAAATGTGAAAATAGACATGATATTGTGTAGAACTTTATCCTGAAAGAAAACACAGCTATCAACATTTTCTATTTCAAACACACTAAATATCAATGATTCACTACAACTCACCAATAAAAACAGAAACAACCCAATTTGAAAAAGGGCAAAAAACGTGAAAAGACATTTTTCCAAAGAAAATAAGCAAATGATAGGCCAGGTGTGCTGGTTCGTACCTATTAGTACCAGTACTCTGGGGGGCAAAAACATCACTTGAGGACAGGAGTTTGAGTCTAAACTGGGCAACTCTACAAAATATAAAAAAATTAGCCACTGGGTGTGGCAGGTTCACACCAGTAGTCCCAGCTACTTGGGAGACCAAGGCAGGAGGAATGCC